GTCATTGGTGTTCAATGCATCAAATCTATTCTTTAGATGATCTCTAAATTCAGGAGGGATATATTCAAGATCATATTTTGGCTCTCGTGGACTTGTTGAGAAATAGTTACCAAATATAAGCAGGAAGAGCTGGAAAGAGAACACTGGGAGAGAGAATTCTCAGAGCTGGCAACGCAGAGGGAGAAAGGTCTTTGGTTTACCGTGGGATCACAATGCATAGTAGGCAGTGGGAACTTCCTTGAACTGTTAGGCGGCATGAACTGTCGAGAGAGTGCAGGAGGATGCAGGCAGATAGCCCATCTCTTCAGGAAGCACTTTCTTTGTAAGGCAAGGTAGATAGATTGTGAGTGCCCTCTGTTGCCTGTCTCCAAAGTCTGGAAGAAGTACATAATGACTAAACAACTTGCTATCTTTTGTTCTCACACAAGTCTCTCTGATACCTGTAAACTGTACCGATGCTGTTAAAAAGATTCTTAGTATATTCCACTCTAGAACATAGCCTTGTTTCTTCCTTGCACAGTCCTCTTGCTAATAACTGATCCAGGGGAGCGCCCGTCATTCATACATGTACAGCAGAGAGGAAGGAAGGCAGAGGGAAGGACAAGGACCCAGGAGAAAATGCTGTTGGTCCCTAAAACTTAATGAAACAATCACTTCTTTATAATCAGAGATAGTTACTTGAGTCAAGAGCTAGGAAGAAACAGTAAGAAAATAGCATATGGTTCATCATAATCTGGCCAACCTCAGGAAAGAAAAGAAAAAAATAAAATCTGAGAAGTAAAGGACCACATTAGAAATGAAAAGGAGAATTAACATTGAAAACTCAGCAAAGAACGTGGATAATAGGCTTTTAAAAGTTGAACAAAGTGAAGTGGGAATGGATGGAGATAGAACAAATGCCTACGAGTGATTCTGGAAACAGAGAATTCACCATCAGAGTAAAACGTTTGATCCTATAATTTAAGAAAATGCAAAGCAAGACATCTTGATGCTATAGATTTAAAGAACCTGCTTTGACTGAGGAAAAACTAATAGGGAATCATAAACATCAGTACATAACCTAATTTTAAAAAAATGGATTTCAGAGGTAAAGAATTGAGTCTTTTGCTCATTCCCTTAAAAAGCTAAATTTACTTAACAGGGGAGTGGAGGGAATCAGATACTGTCAAGGGAATATGCAGCCTTATAGAACAACGGTACAAAACCTGTAAGTCATCAGGGAAAGAAAGTAGGGCATCAGAGCCAAACCGTCAGTGGCCAACCATTTTTGGACAATGTAAGAAGTAAAATACCTGAAACTTATTTTTGAATAAACTATAAGAAGATAGGGAGCTGTGGTGGCATAGTGCCTAAGGCACTTGACTGCTAACCAGAAGGCTGGTGGTTCAAACCCACCAGCCACTCCTCGGAAGGAAGATGGGGCAATCTACTTCCGTAGTGATAATGCCTCGGAAACCCAAGGAGGGGTCGCTATGAGTCAGGTCTGACTCGAGGGCACGTAACAAAACAAAAACAATGAGAAGATGAGTTTGGTGGTCGAGTTTGTGTGTCAACTTGGGTTGGTTGAGTGGCTGGGCAGGTAGTGGTAGTTATTCCCCATGGTGAGACTGATGATCAGCTCCATGGTGGAATCTACTGTGAGCAGCTAAGTAGCTGCCTTAGGGATGTGGTCTGCTTCCTGCATATAAGAGAAACCTTGGGGAATGGGCTTTCTAGCTTTTGGCATGGTTGAACCCTGCATGTAGCCGTGTCGTCGTTGTTCAGCAGCCTGCCATGCTCTGCCAACCTTGGGACTTTCAAGAGACTTGAATTAATGGCCTGCTGTGTGGTTTGATAACATCAGAACTGTGCCATTTTATTTGTCGACCTTGGGTTTGTTGGCCTCAGCAGCCAGTACCTGCCTGAGTGAGGAGAGCCTCTGGCCTCAGTGGTCCGGGAGCAAGAGGCAGAGCTGAAGCCCAAGGTAGAGGGTTTTCACCCAGCCCCTAGAGCCTGGCACTTTCAACTTGGACTTAAACCCTCCAAATTGTGAGAATAAACTCCTGTTTGTTCAAGCCATCCCATGTGTGGTGTATTCCTTTCAGAGTGGTATTACTAACAATGAGTATCATTGTCCAGGAGATGAATAGAGATGATGAAGCAAAAGGATTGACAATGAACATTGATTCCATTTACTTGTAGAATTAAGACCAAAACAACTGTGGGATTTGTGGTTACAGAGCAGAATAGAAATAAGGTGTAGAAATAACTAATAAGAGGTAGGATTAGAAGGGAAAGAAGGTAGAAGATGGTGTAAATATGCTGATTCCTCTTATTTTATAGCTGGAGAACAAAAGATGTATAAAGCTTAATCAAGCAGTACAGATGTTACTATGTTTACAGCAATGAAGATAGACACCTTGAGATCTATGTATAATGTATTTAACCAATATCAGGCAGTAGAGAAGAGGTAGAAAGAAGTTGAACTACGTCAAATTTCTTATCCTGAAGAAATAATCAGAGATGAGACCAAAGATGAAAGAACGAAAATGTTTATCACAGCCTTCTTTTACTCTTGCAAAATCAGAAATCATACCTGGACTATTTATAATAACTGATTACATCCCAGATTGCAAAGTAAATTTCAGCATCACAGAGCTGTCATACAGAGCAAGTTCTCTGACCAAAACATTCTCTATTTCTTTTATGTGAGTGGTTCTTAAAGTGTGGTCTCTAGATTTGTGGCTTTGGGATCTCTTGAAACTTTCCAGAAAGGAAATTCAGGGGTCCTACCCTAGACCTAGGAGTCCTTGGGTAGGACAAACTGTTAAGGGCCTGGCTACTAACAAAAAGGTTGGCAGTTCAAATGCACCCCCAAGCACCTTGGAAGAAAGGCCTGGCTGGTGGTCTCCTTCTGAGATCCTTGATTATCGTAGGGAGCACAGTTCATCTCTGCACCTGGGGGGGGGTCGTTGTGAGTCTGAGTGGACTTCATGACAGCTGGTTTACCCCAAACCTCCTGATCAGGAGAGAATCAGAAACTCTGAGGGAAAAGCCTCCAATCTCTGTTGGTCCGTTTGCTTAAATACACTGTGTATGTCTTCATTTATTTGCAGTTGTTAAGAATGCCACTGTAAACCAGTTTGTTCCTTCATCTATGGCCTCATGTCTGGTTATTTCCTTAGGCTAAGAAATTACTAGGTCAAAGAAAGTTCGGTGAAACAGTAGGTAACTTTTTCTTTGTTCTGTGCTGGTTATTTGAGGTGAAAAATTACAAGTAGATTTTTGTCTCTTTAGGAATATCTTTTTGTTCACAGAAAGCAGGATTGTCTTCCTATCCAAAAAGATGAAAACGACAGCGTTACCTTCGAAAGGCAACCACATGAGCACTGCAGACTAATGAGTAGAATCAACAAGAACGTGATTTTGGCCCTTTTAACCTTGACAAGTTCTGCATTCCTGCTGTTTCAGTTGTACTACTACAAGCACTATTTATCAGTAAAGGTAATTTTCTTTCTCCTTTCTCATCATTAGGCTTTATTTTAGCTGTATATTTTCCTAACACGCTTTGCAGTATATAGAATCAATCACAGTTTTTCAAATCCTTGCAGAAATATTTCCTATTGAGATTATCATCTTTGTGTGTGTGTGGCAAGCTAGTCAAAATTGTGTTAGATATTGTTGTAATAACACTAAAAGTCCAAAGTGGCAAATTTTGGTGATGTTTAATCTGCTGAAATTTTCTGATATGTTTATGTAAAAATTTGCTAAACAGATTATCCCTCACATAAATTAACTCAATGATAATGTTGATACCAAAATTAATTTTTTTACTTCCAAGTGTATTTTAATTAGCACCTACCAGAGAAATGTAATGGTATAACATACCTTTACTATAAATCTATAAGCATAAATGGAGACAATGGTTTGGAAACTAACACCTCCTAAAGATCACTCAGTGAATAACTCTATAGTCCAGATAAGAAATTCCAGACTTGAGGATATTGCTGAATTGTGACAGAGTTGCCAGATACACCCTCCAGGGGTTTATAATAATGGTAATTAAACACTGTACATTAAGAGCTGTGCTAGAGGTTTGTATGCTTGGCTTACCCTTAAAAACAGCCCTGGGAAAATTAATAGACTACACATGCACATTTATTTATTTACCTAACCCAGCCGATCGGATTATTCTTCAGAAATAGTTGTTTCTGCTTTCTTCCCACTGACGAAGTTAGACTTCCTCGCGGTATTGACCATGAGACTTTTTTTTAACCACTAAAATGGGCTTCAGTGGGCTGTCACAATTTGATTTACCTGTACTTTTACTCTTCTGACCTGCAGGAATGAAGAAACATGCCCTGGGTAGATACTGTCCCTCCAGCCCAGGCCCCTGCATGACACGTGTGGAGCTGTCTAAAGCACAGCTGCCCCCCTGAGTCCCAGAGCTGTGAGGGAGAGTAAATGCAGTGAGCCTGGCAATTGGAGCAGGTTTATTCTGCAGTGTTGTTAGGCCGGCTCCCTAGACTTCATTTTATGTATGAAAAATTGGAGAAGGGAGATAACTTGCCTACCTAAGTTATCGAGTTTCTAACACTCAAGCCTGGTATTTGTACCATCCTTTCTTTCTAGGCTTTACCGTTTCTAAAATAACTGGCAAGTACTGGTAACTTGGCTGTTTAGCCAATGAATGTATGTTATCTTCAACACTTTCTGGCTATTTTCTTAGGTTAATTCCTGGAGTAAAGTTCCTAGGTCTAAGAGTAAGCACACACATTTCAGATTCTGCTACATACTACAAAGTTACCTTCCACGAGGATAATTAGAATGCCTGAGTGCCCTTACCCTTTCCAAATAGGGCATGATAAACATCCACAGTAATGACTGTATCAGGTGAGATGCTTTCAGCTGACTAATTGTATCTTAAACAAATAGGATTATTTGTCTCCTTATCTGCAAGTTCAGAGCTTCTAAAATTCTCTTGTCATTTCCTGTTGGGGCAGCCATGACTGAAAGAAGAAATGAAAGAGTGCCGGCAGGCTTCCCTTGGGTGAGATGGGCCAGCAGAGTCCCAGCTGCACGAGCATCTGGGAAAGCAAGGATGTGTTGATTGTCTTTGAAAATTTTTATTATTTTTTACCTTCTCCAGGGTCTAGCATAGAGATTGCAAGGAAGAGGGAGTCTAGAAGTAGGCGTTGGGCCAACATAGCTGTAACAGCTAACGTTTTTTGGTGTGCTTCATCGATTTGGCATTGTGCTAAGCATTTTAATACCTCTGATCCCCATAACTCTTTGGTTGGATTCTGTTGTCCTCATTTTCCCACAGGAAAAAATTTGATTTAGAGTTGTTGTTGTTATGTGCCGTCGAGTCGGACCCGACACATAGCGACCCCTCCTTGGGTTTCCGAGGCAGTATCACTACAGAAGTAGATTGCCCCATCTTCCTTCCAAGGAGTGGCTGGTGGGTTTGAACCACCAGCCTTCTGGTTAACAGTCAAGTGCCTTAGGCACTATGCTACCAGAGCTCCTGAGAGAGGCTTGATTTAAGAGATTTACTAATTTGCCAGAAGTCACACAGTTAATAAATGGAGGAGCTGGAATTTGTTTTTAATTTCAAATCCATTTGTTCATTGCTAATATGCAGCAAAGCAGTTGACTTTTTGTATATTAACCTTGTATTCTGCAAGTTTGCTATAATCGCTTTTAGGAGTTTTTTGTTGATTCTTTGGGATTTTCTTATAGAAAATCATATCTGTGAACTAGACTCTTTTACTTCTTCCTTCCCAATCTGTATACCTTTTATTTCCTGTTCTTATATAATTACCTTAGCTAGGACTTGCAGTATGATGTTGAATAGTAGTGATGAGAAGGGACATCTTTGCCTTGTTCTCAATCTTAGGGAGAAATCATCTGGTTAGGTGTCCTGTTAGCTGTAGGGTTTTTGTTTGTTTGTTTGTTTTTGTTTTTAAATAGATATTCTTTATCAAGTTGAAGAAGTTCTTCTCTATTCCAGATTTATCACAAACTAGTGTTGGGATTTTGTCAAATGCTTTTTCTGCAACTATTGATATGATCATATGATTTTTCTCTAGCCTGTTGATATGAATTACGTTAGTTGATTCGTGAATGTTAAGCCAGCCTTGCATACCTGGGATTAGTCCCACTTAGTCATGGCACATAATGCTTTTTATACATTGTTGAATTCCATTTGCTAATATTTTGTTGAGGATTTTTGCATCCAGGTTCATCAAAGATACTGGTCTGTACTTTTCTTTCCTAGTAGTATCTTTGGTTTTGGTATTAGGATATGGCTGACCTCATAGAGTGAGTTGTGACATGGTCCCTCCTCTTCTATGTTTTGAAAGAGTTTAAGAAGGATCAGTGTTCATTCTTCTTTAAATGTTTGGTAGAATTCTCCTCTGAAACGTTCTGGGCCTGTTGCTTTCTGTTTCAAAAGGTTATTCATTATTGGTTCAGTTTTCTTTAATAGACAAAGTCCTGTTCAGATTTTCTATTTCTCTTTGGTAAGTTGTGTCTTTCTACTAAATGGTCCATTTCATCTAAATTACCAAATTTGTAGGCATAGAATTTATTGTTCATGGTATCCTTTATTATCCTTTTAATGTCCATAGACTCAATCATGATGACCCTTCTTTATTTTATAATAATAGTAATTTATATTTTCTGGTTTTTTTCTTGGTTAGTCTGGCTGGAAGTGTATAATTTTATTTATTTTTTTCTTCAAAGAACCAACTTTCGGATTTGGTGATTTTTCTCTATTAATTTCCTATTTTAAATTTCATTGACTTCTGATGTAATTTTTATTATTTCTTTTCTTTTGCTTGCTGAGGATTTCCTCTTCTCTTTTGAGTTTCCAAAGGTGGAAGCCAATATTGGTTTTAGGTTTTCTTCTTTTCTAATACATGCATTGAATGCTGTAAAGTTTCCTCTAAGCACCACTTTCAGTGCATCCCACAGATTTTAATAGGTTATATTTTCATTTTCATTTAGTTCAAAATAATTTTTAATTTTTCCTGAGACTTTTTCTATGACCCATGTGTTATTTAGAAAAGTGTTGTTTAATCTCCAATCATTTAGGCATTTTCCAGCTATCTTTCTGTTACTGCTTTCTCATTTAATTCCATTGTAGTCTGAAAACATACTTTTTGGGGGGTGGGGAAGGTTGAACATGATGAAAAAGTAATTGATATCTAGGACTTTGACAGCCATGACATGCTTTGAAAACATGGCATTATTTATTTTGATGTGTAATTATATATTGCCTCATTCTTCAAAGGGCTTTGAAGGCTTTTCCACCCCCACCCCCTCACCTTTCTTTCACCCAAGTTAGTATGTGTCTACCCTCTAGTTAGTGGTTTGAGAATATACTTTGTATGATTTCTGTTCTTTTAAATTTGTTGAAGTTATGTTTTGTGGCCCAAGATTTGGTCTGTCTTGGTAAATATTCCATGTGAACTTGAGAAGAATGTGGATTCTGCTGCTGTTAGATGAAATATTCTATAAATAGCAATTAGAACCAGTTAGTTGACGGTATTGTGTAGTTCATGTAGATCCCTTATCTGTACAGGTAGTTGTTTTTTGTGTTCACTGTTAAGAATAGGCAGAAATTCATCCAGATGCAACAACGGGTCTCTCCTCGTCAAGAAGAAAGAAGAAAACCAAAATTAATGGAAACAATCAGTCCTAGCGACTGGTACACCATCCGATCTGCAACCTATACAACTATGAGACCAGAAGAACTAGATGGTGCCCAGCTACCACTGCCATCCACTTGGAAGGGATGTAGGAGATCCTGCATAAAGAGGGAGAACAATGTGGTACAAAACGCAAAATCATTTGGAGGCAAAAAAAAAAAAAAGAAGATGGGGACCAGGTTTGCTGGTCCAATAGAGCCCGGTGTAACCACTGAGACTGTGGCCCCTAGTTGCCCTTCAGGTCTGGAATTGAACCCACAACTGTGGTTTCCAGCCAAACAAAGTACAGGCATGTGAGTTAAACATTTACCTCAAGTAGACACACGCCCTGGAGAGAACAATCATGGGAGAAGGAAGGGCTGCTTATGCACAGGGAGATAGCTCAGGGTGCAGAAGAGTATGAAGGGATGGACACTGGGAGGAGGTAACTATGAATTTGGTTTTTAAAGTAATTTTATGTCCTATAAAATGGATTTTTTAAATTTAGCTAGATGATGGCAAGACAAAGCCAATGAACTGCCTTTGAGTAAAGCACTGAGTGAACCAAATTCATGGTATTCTTGACTTAGTTTCATTAGCAGCCCTGCTACCTAACAGCAATCAGCTGGGAACTAAACACAGAGTGCCTCAAATGATCTGCCTGATGAGAGTGTTTTTGTCTACCAGAGGCTTTCTGCCAGTAGGCCCAAGTTTGACTGGATAGTTTATGCAAACAGTGTGATTTATGTGAGCACCTGCTTTTGCCCTGGGGCTCTGAAGTGTCAATAGCTGAGGTCAGTAATGCAATCACTGCATGGCTATAAGACTGACCCCAATAAAATGCCTGGACACTAAGGCAACACTGGTTGGCAACACTTTGCGTGTGTTGTTGGGGGAAGTAAGCACATCCCATATGAATACCCTGGGCGAGGACACTGGGGAGCTTGTGCCTCATCTCCTCTAGACTTTGCTGCCTGTGCTTTTCCCCTTTGCTGATTTCAATCCCTAGCTTGTTGCTGTAATAAACCATAACCATGAGCATATCAGCTTCTGAGACCTGTTGTTGTTGTTAGGTGCATATCAGCTTCTGAGTCTTCTTGTTGTTGTTAGGTACTGTTGAGTCAGCTTCAACTCATAGCCACCCTGTGTACAATAGAATGAACCACTGCCTGGTCCTGTGCCAGCCTCACAGTCCTTCAGGATTGTTCGTCCAGTAATGTATCAGACAGTGTTTCACTGCTATTCATAAGGTTTTCACTGGCCAATTCTTTGAGAAGTAGATGACCCCTTCCTTCTTCCGAGTCTGTCTTAGTCTGGAA